CAGTTTCAGCAGCGGCTGATGCCAGTTCCGACTTACATACAGATTCAACTGAAGAACAAACCTACAGTCCCTATCTTGTACGTAACCCGGGGACTGCCTGTATAGCAGTCACTGAGGAAATTATTTTTGAAGTTCCCAGCAGCATAAAAGTTACTTTATTCATGCTATGGTTCAGCACAAGCATCCTGTTGAGGGCTCTGGCCAGTCGATTGCAGTTAGCTGTGTGTGATATTGTAAATAGAGTTAAACTAAGTGCACAAAATAACTTTTTAAAAAAGATGTTCAGTGTGTGAATAGAAATTACCTACATTTCATTGATCTGTATTTCTCCTTACTGGCTTCCCACCAAGCAGAAACTGTCATCCCTGAAGATTACCTGGTTGACCCTGTGAACATGAAGCGCTACAATGTTGATCCTTCTGATTCTGCCTTTAATTGTATGGGCTCCCTGTATACTATGAGACAGAGCTCTGGAGATGGACGTCTTGCTGGAGGCTCCTCTTCCTCTTGCAGTCATCGTTCTGGTCAGATGTCCTCCGGGGGACCATCATCTACTGGTTTGAGGCATCAGACATCCAGCCCAACTAGAAATGGAACCTATCTTGAAGGAAACAGAAGTGGTAACATAATATAATTGATTCTGCCTTGATATTAAGAATGTGTGTCATTTTATTCTCCTGAGGCTCAATCCCACAGACTTTACCCACCCCATAATGCACAGTGATGCCAGCTGTGTTTCATGCAAGAGCTGTGGAATGATAAAGCCAGTGGTCAGATCAGAATCACAGTGATTAGAGGAGCTATGACAAACTATGGAGAAGGAGAAATAAATGATGAAAAATGTGTCCATTTGAAAACACGCATGTTTTGGGGGGTGCTCAGAGGTGTTGAATCAAGCTGTACGCCTTGTAGAAACCACTTCAAGCCAAGGAGTGCTATAGCAGCACACCTGACACCTCTAGTTCCAGCACCTATGATGCATGTGACCGAACGGGAGTACAGTAGACTTCCGATAATCTGGAACCTATGAGACCTAGGTGGTGCCGGATTATCAGATATGCCGTACTATCAGGAGGTACTATAAACTGGTTTTATATATATATATATATATATATATACTGTATACATTATATACTGTATATAAAGTGTTCTTAACCCTTTTTATTGTACATACTGTATACAGTATACTGTAATGTTTTAGGTTTTTTTAAGCCTTTTTACCCTTTTTGCTCAGTTCAGCTGCTGCCACTGTTACCTTGTGACTCATTTTTTGCCGAAGCTCACTCACTAGGCTCTTGCCATTTTGATGCCGGACTATCAGGAGTGCCGGACTATTGGAGTTTTACTGTAATTGGTTTTATGGCTATAAATAATAATATGACTATTATTTATCCCCCAAATTTGATAGCGTTCAAGCATATTTAGGTACCTATCATTTATGTGGTTCCAGAAGTGTACATGGTGCTGTGCAATGCAGATCCCAACACTGGCAAAATAAAGGAATGAATAACTATCTCAGCAAAAGGGGTTATTTCCTAGCTCTACTTTATAGCCTGCTGCCACTCTTCACCTTCGAATGATATTGAATTTTGTCACAGAAAGTGTGTTGAGAAAAATGTATTGTTTATAAACCCAGGTTGCTTACTGCTCATTGCTCCATTATCTTCTAAAGCTCCCATTAAAATTAATAAGAGTTTTTCTGCTGAAATCAATAGATGTTGGCTGGACCCTATATATTTAATGATTTTTCCACATCTCATTTTTTGCTCCAGTATTTTACATGGGCTTACGATTATGTAGCCTGATCCTTGACCCCATTAACACTGCTTTGTACTGCTCTAGTTATACAAAACAGCCTTTAAAAATCTTCAGATGGCAACCGGACGATTCTCTCAGTGAAGAATTCTCTGATGGCTTAGGGACCATGTCAGTGTATAGATGGGTTAAACAGGCAGCCAGTCGGGGTAAAATAGAGGAGGCCTGTAGGACCAGGTAGAGACCTCTCCAGAAGACAGATGGTCACAGAATCAGGGAAGAATGGGGAAAGGGACACAAAAATAGCTTACTGCTATCTTTCAATGCATCCCTTGAGATTTGTACTGATTGCAGTGTAGGATCAGTCATGGTGCAGTAATTACTAGAATTGTTCTTCTTTCCTTTTTTTGGAAATCAGAATTAATTTACTTCTTTCCCTTTCAGTACCTTCCCAGTTATCCATGATTTTTCAGAAATAACTGTCTGTTTCAGTGTTAACTAATTCTCTTCCTCCATATTTGTGTTCACTTTTTCCAAGTATTCTATTAGTTTCTCTTTACATAAGTGTCATTTTAACAGTGTCTTCCTTCCTTTCTAATTATTCGAGCTCCATTTATATATTTTTCACCTTAAAGAGTTAACAAAGGAATTCAGTGTCTCAGCAATTTTAAGTCATTAATTTCTTTCCCTTCCTCCCTTATTAATGGGACCAATTGTCATTCTAGTATTTTTCACCTTGATGTATTTGCAGGAGCATTTCTTATTTCTTTTCACCCCCTTGTCTAGCATTAACTTATAAGGACAGCAAAAAAAGCATAATATGTTCCTTGCAAGCCTTAACTGGCTGTGAGCATTGCTGTGTGGTTGCCTCCTAATTACAGATGTCAATAAAATATTATTAACATCAGATCTGTGAATCTTTATGAATCCACACTAAGCGCTAACATATTTCTTGTGTGCTACATTGCATTGAGCTGTAGGCCATTGCTCTTAACTGTAGTGTCTTTTAGGGTTTAACAGCCACTCGTGCTGTGGCCCCCTCTCCAAGCCAATCCCCAATTTAAAGGGCCAGGGGCTATGGATGCCTCTTCTGCTGAAGTAGCAGTGGCTACTGGGAACTGCTGGGAGCTCCAGGCTCTTCTGAATTGCTGGGGCCCAAGACAGATGCCCCTTTTGCCCCCCTCCGTCAATGAGCCTGTTTGCCCAGAGTTCCCACAATGCTCATACAGCATGTGCTAAAGCTCATGCCACTGCATCTTCATTGTTATTTTAGCTGTGCTAAGTAAACAAACGCTAGTAGAGGTGTGTCTAACAATCAGAGAATCATAGAGCTTGAAGGGACCTCAAGAGACCATCTAGCCCAGTCCCCTGCACTTCTGGCAGCACCAATTGCTCCTTCCAGTTCAGTTCTGTTGTAGTGTAGACACAGACCCAAACACTATCTTATCGTTCTACTCAGTTAGAGCCCACTTGAGTGCCCATTTAAGAGATCCCCTCCATTGACTTTAATGGGTGGTGGAATGGCTCTTGCGGTAGAATCTTTGCCTTTCTGGGAGTCTAGCTTCAAATGCTTAAAAGTTCTCTTGTGCTCAACCTAGGTTTATGCATCTATGCAGCATATTTCCAGCATCCCATCAGTTTCCATTGGGTTCTCTTTAGTCACATGGGGTATGTCTCCACTATGGGACAAAATCGAATTAAGATACACAACTTCAGCTACGTTAATTGCATAGCTGAAGTCTAAGTAGCTTAACTCGGCTTTTGGCACTGTTTACACTGCAGGAAGCAGGGTTACTGGCATCAACAGGAGTGCCCCTCTCAATTCGAATTAGCTGTCTTAACTCAACCACTAATTTGAACCCTGGAAGATCGACAGTGGCCGCTTCCATCTTTCTCTGCGGTGTAGACGTATCCATGCTGTACAGGGTCTGGACAACACCATTAGCTGCCCAGGAAGCAGTTTATTACAATTTTCACAAGACCCATTGCCTTTGGAACCTGTCTAGCTAAGAAGAACAGCCAGATCTTCCGTAGCAAGTTAGGAACTAAATAAAGCAAGGGGAGAAGGAGAGAGAAAAACATTTAAAAAGTAGATCAGGGCCAGACACTAGAGACATTTGGTTGTTTTGGAGGAGAGTTGGCAGAACTTCTGGCTACCACATAAAGCACAGGGAGATAATGAGTCTCTGCCAAAATCATGTGATACTTTTTCACGTGACATGTGCCAGCAAGACCAACAAAGCTTGGCCAGCCGTAGGCTGCATAGGTATTTTAGCCAAAAGGCAAAGGATGAAGGTTCCATGTAGCTGATATTTGCCATTTGTACATGAAGCTAAAAATTGGCAAATTAATCTGCAGCATAATATAGATTTGCTATGTAGTGTTTATACACACAAGAAGACAAAGACTTTGCCCCCAAACAGCTTACAGTCTCTACAACAATATGAATATTAGTTTCCATGCATGTCTCAGGAATTCTAACATGCTGGACTATAGAAATTAGCTGACTATTGTGCATATGAACCAATGCCAGCTATTTAAGCAGAACTGCTCAGCTGTGTGTCAGAGACTCTGTACTGCTAGCTGAGATTTTCCTTCAGTTGGGGATAGAAGTTGATGCTTTTTGGGGTGGAAATCTGAATTCTGCTACCCAGAATCACTGAGAAGTTTTGAGAGGAGCATAGAGACACCCACAAAGTCATAGGTGGTCACGGTTTTATTACAAAAGATTTAGGGAAATAGTAGCATTCCAATTCACAGTTTTGTTCTTCCTCTAGATACTTATGGTCACATAATTTCTGAGGTACTTCTCCACAATAACACTGAAGTTCTTACCATAGTGTTGGAAAAGTATTGTGCACATTTCCTTAAACGTTGTGTGTTTGTTCACACTGATCAGATCTTTCTACTAACTTGCTGCATTAACCTTCCCTTATACTACTAGACTTCGTTAATAACATATTTTTCTGAGCTGGTTTCAATATAGCAGGAGTGTCATGTATTTATTGCCTTTGCAACACACTCAGCTGCCATATGACTAGACTGCTGCTTTGTGTTTTTCTTCTCTCTAGAACTAGTTTACATGCTGCTCAGTCATAAGCAAACACAGATGAGCAATTGCTGCATGCTGGAATCTGTACTTATCCCTCTCAATTGGCATACTTACAATGCAGCAACAAGAAGGGCTCATTAAACCGAGGAGGCATTAAAAGGGGAACAAATTTAGAAAGACTTTTTTTAAAGCCTCAAGGCAATCTTCCTCCTTATTCACTTATCTTTTTGTAAAAGATCATGCACCATTACTATAGAGGACACATATATTTTTAAAAAACTACATCTTTCAGACTATATATACTGATGTATAGTAGAACCCATTTTTCAAGTGCAATGCATAGGTTTCAGCCTCAAAGTTCCCATGATGGAATCTGGTAAATGGGAGGCTGGTGGCTACTACAATTACACTAAAAAAATCTCCAGAGTGTGTCTTTAAGAGGTGTTTCCACATTGCCACCTGCCATGGGTTTCTGCCTTATCTTAGGTCATTGTGCTTCAGCATCTGCCAAGGATGCTTGTGGTATTATTCTGCTGTAACCCTGGGAAATCCTCCTTCTTTCTAGAGCTTTAAGTCCGTAGGCAAATCTGCCAGTTTCCCTCTTCACCAGGCTTTCTAATTTCAGTAGTTTTTTCTGTCTCTGACATGCTTCCAGATTTTCTAAATCAATATGGCCAAAGGCTGACTACATGCCACTCACATGCTCTCCAAGGGCATGTCTTCACTACCCATCGGATTGATGGGCAGAAATTGATCCACCATGGGTCAATTTATCACATATAGACATGATAAATCGACTGCCAAGCACTCTGC